GTCCCTCTGCAGAGCCTTCCTACCCTCACCATCATCCTCATCACCTCTCTGTGCCCCTGTGTTTAACTTGCTGATCATTAGCGGAAATAAATTAACAATACCCAATTAAATATTTAATCAGGCTTAAATTCACACAAAGTAACAAAGCTCCCCCTCAAAACCCGAGGAGCAAGGGAGCGGGTACCGGCAGCTGACGCTGGCTGCAGATTAGCGCAAGCATTTCCCGTCACTTGCAATAGCTAATGTTACACTCCACCTAAAGAGACAAATAAAAGCAAACCTGATTAAATTATATGAAGCTTACACAACTGTAGTTGCTTTATTTAATCTCTTTTGGGGATTTTTTTTTTTGCTCCTTTGCAACTTTAACCCCTCGTTTCCCAGACCAGGCTGAGCTGGCGCGCTCTCTCGAGTGGGATGCTTTTCATTAGGAGCTGGAAACATAAATTCTCACCCAATCTCTCACTACCAAAGCAAAATTCCTCCTCTGATACCCTTTTTGATGCCCTTTCCACCCTTCTCTCTTTAGGGTAAAATCTTTAAGAGCAGAGGCGAGAGGAGAGCCAGGCATTTGCAGAGACAGGAAGGGCCGTGCCTCAGGGAGGGCTGTGCTCATGTCTGCTGCGGCTCCAAGCATCCGGAAACCCGATCTGCAAGGGGAAATCCATGGAAACCTGTGATGGAAAAGCCATGGAAACCCAGGAGGGAAAAGCCATGGGAAACCTGCAAGGGAAAAGCCATGGAAACCAGGTCCCCGTTGTCCTGTGGAGCTGGGATTAGGGAGCAGGGAAAGGGAGCAGGCAGAGGGCCAGCCCCACGCTGCAGCCATGCTGCCATACACCCCCAGCACGTGCACCTGCAGCCGGTAAGAGCTTGTTGTGTTGTAATTAGTGACCGTGCATCTTGCACCAGGGCCGATTACTCCTCCTAAATACACTGCGAAGCCCACGTCGACATTAATTACTGCGCCGGGTCAGCAGCGAGGGGAAGCTAAGGTCACCCCCCTCCTTTCTCTAATCAAGACCGGCCTCGGCAGCCCAGCAAACAAGAAGCCAATTGCTGTGCAATTGCACGCACTGAATTAAACAGACGTGGGGAGGCCAGGAGAGGAGGGGGAGCTGGTTTGGGGAGAGGGGGAAGGATGCCAAGGATGAGTTTTTGCATGGGGAAATGGAGCCAAGCAAGCAGGCGATGTCGGACAAGCCTGCTAGAAACGAGCGGCCGGTCAGGCATCAAACAAACCCAATTGAATCAAGCAAGTGCTGTAGAAAATGACAGCAGCAATGATATTAATATAAATATTGATATTAATGTCAGGGAGCACAGTAATCACTCGGCAGCTGGTCTGCATTTTGCACCGCCGGCACCCACCCAAAGCATCCCTGCATCCCTGTGCACGGGGCATGGGGACTCTGCAGGGGCACGACCCCCAGCTGAAACACTACCAGGACGGACAGACAGACAGATGGTACCACACCTCCATCTCCTTCAGCACGGGGTGATCTTCGATCCCTGGGAAGAGGACCCGCATGGCGTAGGTGCGGTAATCCAGGAAGGGGATGCCTGCCCCGTCCAGGTCGTTTGTCAGCTCGTTAATGTCCGTCTGCAGCTCAGCGAAGGCTGGGGTGGGAAAAGCAAAATTAAGCACCACAACCCGGGGGTCCCAGCACACAGCATGGGCACCCAGCCACTGCCGCAGCCCCCAGCACGCCGCAAGTGGGACCCCCAGACATGAATTGGCTCCACATCCCCCCCACAGGCTGAGATCGCTGTCCCCATCTCACAGATGGAGAAACAGAGCTGCGGAGGGGGGGGATGCCTTCTCCAGAATAAATCAAGTGCCAAATTTGGGAACAGGACTGCCAGGTCCCAGGGGGCTCAAATCCCCCCTGCTCAGCACTCGCAGCTTCCCAAGGATGCTGGGGGCTGTGGGGAATGGCATAGCTTGAACGAAGCCAGAGCTTCTGGGGGAAAACGTTAGCCTAAACCACAAGAATGTCCTCATTTATTTTTGACCTAAATACTGCTGAGGAGAGGAGCTTGAACACACCCACCCCAGCACCTCCCGATCTCAGCAGCGGCAGTCGCGAATCCCAGGGGAACACAGCACGGGGGGGTCCTGAACCTTTAATTGCACCTACAGGGAAAAGCTGACACGAGGACGACGGAGAAGGCCCCAGGAAAGGGGGTGGGGGGGGGGGAGAAAACCCTCAGAAAAATCAAATTAACGGCACTTTAAAGGGAGCTGAAAGCCAGGCAGAGGACTGCAGGCTCGTCAGGCTGATGAGAAAAAACAAACCGTCAGCTTGAAAGGCGTGCTATCTTATCTGTAACTAGTGGGACTAGAAAAGAGAAAAGGCAGGGAAGAGATTGTGCCTTTTAATTAAAAGCATATCCTTTTATCTGCCAGCTGTGGAAGACAAGACACCAGCCCCTCCACCAGCTCCCTCCCCGCTCCCTGTCACCAGTGCCATCCACAGGCATGTGTAGGGATGGGGATTTGGGGGAGCAAAGGGTTTTTCTTTCTTTCTTTCTTTCTTCCCTTCCCCTTTTTCATTATCTTGGTTTTGGTGCCTGCTCCATTCATGGCACCCGGGCTAGCTGTGGCTGGCGGGGTCGGGGCCTGGGAGCCAGCTCAGGGGGATAATGGGCAATTAGGTTTTATCAGCAGGATCATATAAGGAATTCTGTCCAATTTCACAGCATCCGTCTGTCACGTAATGAGAGACCAACTGCCCGCTAACAGACAGCCCTCACTACCCTCTCCTCGCTCTCTTTTCTCCCCTTTGGAGAAATGGAGGGGAATTCCTTAATTGGAAAACCCCCAGAACCCACCCAAAGTGAGTTCGCTTCCTATGACAAAGCACATTCCCATTCCCTCTCCAGGAGGCAGTGGGGAAAGGGTGGGAGTACCCCGAGCTGGGGTATGGGATGAGACCCTCCAAGACTCCCCCTGGCAGCAGCACAGGGATCCCTCACCCTCTTTGCACTCCAGGGCCACCCGGGACTCCAGGTTGTCCATCTGCAGCTGCAGGCGTTTCAGAGTGCGGTCAGCGTCCCGGGACTTGCGCTTGTAGGCGATGAGGACGATGATGATGATGAGGAGGAGCAGCCCGCCAAGCAGCAGCCCGCCCCCGCCACCGATGCCGATGATGGCAGGCAAGGTGAGCAGGCTGTCCGAGTAGATCTGCAGCGTCCCTGGGGAGAACTCAAACCCTCCAGCCTTAATCTTAATTAAAAATAAAAAAACAGAGCTGGCATCAGGGCAGCCCTCCCCACCACGCCTGCCGTGCTGGGAGAACTGGGGGATGGGGAACTGGGAGCTTTCCCAGTCTAGGCAGAGAAGGATGCAGAAAGCGGCAGGGATGGATGGCAGGAGGTGGTCCAGCGCAGCGCGGCGCTCTTTAATGGGATGCAGGACACGCTGCCAGCATGCACGGAGCAGGCAGAGTTTGATGTCTCATTCAGACAACATTACGGTAACAGATGGGATGTGAAGTGAGTTTCCCCACGTGTGGGGAGCCTGGGGGGGGACCGTGCTGGGTCTCTTTCAACCTGGCAGGGTCCTGGAGCGCGAGCGCTGCTGCGCTACAACCCCCCAAACAAAGAGCCCTCCTCCCGGCGCGAGCCAGCACCAGGGGAAGGGGTGGGAACCCCTCTGGCCTTGGCACCAGCGGTGCCTTGGCACCCAGCGGGGAAGGGAGGTTGTTGGCAGGGCCAGTCAGGGCCACCCAGGGCGCAGGGACGCCTGGCTGAGCATGCCAGGGAGGGAACGAAGTATTTGGTCCTACCAAACACGTAATTAGGGAGAGCGATGCCCACGGAGCAGGAGGAAGGCACCTGAGGATGCTCCCGCATGTGCGTCATCTCTGGTCCTCATCCAGAGGGATAGACTGAGCCTCTGGGACAAATGGGACACAAGGAGCAAAGGCACCAGCGCTGGCATTTACCGTGACTTTGTGCTGGCCGGTGAGGTTGGGGGACTCACAGAGGAGCTGGGTCTCGGACACAGTGAGGGTGCAGGGAGTGTCGCCGATCAGCACCGTGTAATTCAGACGGGAGTTACCTGCAGCCGGCGGGAGCAGGTTCCTGCCCTTTGAGAGACCAAGGAACGAGATTGTCAGTTCTCATGCTTAAAAAAACCCAACAGAAAGCAAATTCACGCTCTCTTAGTGCAGGAGAGACAAAAAGCCACCTCCATGGAGGAACACGTCCCTGCCCTCGGGCACACGCTGCCTTACCTTGAGGATAAGGGGAGAGCTGGGCTTCAGCTCCAGCATCCCCGTGGGGCTGAGCGGCTCAAAGACAGGGTCAGGGTAGTAGACAAAGTTGGTGGTGTTGACGATCAGCAGGGCCTGGACGTTATCCATGACGAAGCCAATCTCATCTGGGCGATCTCCGACCTCGGGAGGGCTGCGCTCAGGGTTGTCGATGGAGGGGGCGTAGCACACCATGGTGGTGTCGTTGTAGACAGTGCAGTTCTGCGGGAGGCAGGAACCAAGGTCAGACCTGGCTCCCAACAGCGAGGGCAGGATCGTACCCCATCGGGATCTACCACACAAGTGACAGCCCCTGGACCTCAGCCCCTCCAGGCCATCACATCTGATGGGCAAGGGCCGCGCTTTCCCCGCTGTGTTATGGAGGGATGGCATTCCCCCTCCTCATGCTCTGCCCCAGCCAGCACCACTTACATTCTCCCTTTCAGCGCTGCAGTACTTGGCCCGGATCCTGGGCTCTTTGATGGTGGCCAGGTTGGTGCCAGTCACGGTCAGCAGCGTCCCACCGCTAGAGACAGGGAGACAAGGGGTTAGGAGAGGCAGCTTTGCACTGAGTCCTCACTTTTGGGAGGGAAGCACCCACCCTCACCAGCCAGACACCCATCTCCCCCAGCCTGGGTGCACCACAATGTCCCAGAGACCCGATTACCCACCCATATGTCAGCACAGCCAGTAGGACCTGGCATTCACCACCACCAAATCACCTCAGCTGACCCAAGGGATAACCAGAGATATAAAAACTGCTAATTAACACCAACATCCCACTCCCTGTCCAGGTTTGGGGGCTGAAGGCAACTCCCAAGCTCAAGAAAACCAAGCATCCACAACACGGAAGCATTCTGAGGAGAAAGAGGTCCTCTCTGCTACCCCCTTCTCCACCATAGTGGCAGGGCAGGCTGACCCCTGCCGAGTTTTCTCCATGCTTGGTGTTAAAAGCCTCATAGTCCCGGAGCGCTGGGTCGTGCCCCCGGGGGAGCTCGCTCCTCATCAGCACCCTGGGGAAGCTCTCCCTTGGCGCTGGCGCTTAATGGATTCCTTTGCCTCCTCTCCAGCCAATTCAAACCTTTTAGAAAAACATGTAAACATTTCGAAAACAAAAAAAATCCCCCGATGGGAAATATTTTAAATTTTATTCGTCGCCACCAAATGTCAAGCTGAAATTAAACAGATCCAAAAGCGCTCTCTGCTTTTGCCCCCCTGCCAGGTTGAGCACTGCAGGCCAGGAGTCAGCAAGGCCCCAGTGCCAAGCCATTGCTCACGCTGCTCTCGCCACATCTTGGCGGCTATCGCAGCAGCACCAGGGTGCACCCATCAGGTACACTGGGGGATCCATGCAGAGAAGAGCCTCCTCTGCATCCCATACTGTAGGCACCCCATGGTTCACCTGTTGATGCTCCACTCGGGATCAATCTTCTGGATGGTGGGGTCCTCCGTGTAGTTGTACTTCACCTCCGGGTTGCTCAGCTCTGCCCGGTTGATGTTGATGAGGATGGGGGAGCCACCGGGGCTGTGCCCTGGGGGGGTCCTGCATCGGATCTCACGGGCGCTTCTCCTGGGGGAGTAACACAAAACTCATCAGAGGCCGGACAGGAAGGAGACGAGGAAGGTCAGAGGCAGCCGACGCTGCTGCTCTCCCCTTCTCAAACTGCCAGGGAGGGGGAAGAGAGAAAGGAGGAAAAAAAAAGGAAAAAAGAAAAAACAAGAAGAAATGAAACAAAAGACAGCCGGGAAAGGCTGAGCAGCTCCTGAGCGTTCCCATCGCGCGGCTGCTGCAAACAGCAGCGATTAGGGCTGATAACCAGTAATTACTGCAGGAAAATATTTAAAGAGCCGCTCCATTATCATCCCTAATCTAAAAATTATCCACTTCATGCCTCAGGGCTTTGTGCTTTTAGAGAAAAATCCCCGTTCTTCGGGCTCTTCCTGCAGCCTCTGACACACAGAGGTTTCGGGAGGAGACA